AGTAGAATCTGTGGAAGAAAGAATAGATTAGCCAGAAGATGTGTGAAAAGGGGATTAGAAAAGATGTGGTAGGAGTCCTGGAAGGAGTCCATAGATCTTCCATAGATCTTTCCTGAAATAGCACTGAGTACTTAGTTGGTGCCTACTAGATGTATTGACTAAAGGAATGTAATACCCTGAATATTATCCTGATCACCCTCCACTGGCCATAGTGTCATAGCGGAATTCTGGTGGCTATTAATTCTCTGATTTAGGACCTAGAAGGCAAAATTGGGTGGGACCTGGGAAGGAAGTGTAATTAAGCTACTTAATCTGAGTAGATAGACCATGTGTTTGTGGAAGTAAACTTCTCAGCTTCTGATGGTAAAAAAAATCAATTTTGATCAACTAAACAAGTAGTATATGACAGTTTTTCTTCTCTGGAGTCTTATAGCTGTTATCGATTGCCTATGATTCCTTCTTCTTGCTAAGTTCTGTAGAGCAATTCTTTTAGCTCAGTCTGTCACTAGACTTACCACTAGGTGGTAGATGTACCATACACCAAATTGTTTCTTCAGTAGAGCTTTTCTTACCATTCTCAGTATCACATAGAAGAGTCAACCATTGTACCCACCAAGCTATTTTAAAAGGTGCTCTAAAATAGCACATAAAATTGGCCTGACATTTAATTGAGTCGCTAAGGCACAGCAAGTACACTTCTGTATTTGGATGTGCTATTTGCAGAATGGGTCAATCTGATATTCTAACCTTTCTCATATATGATTGATATTAGTTCAAGAATAACACTGGTGGGAATTCCCTGGCGGTCCAGTGGTTAGGACTCCGTGCTTTCACTGCCGTGGGCCTGGGTTCAATCCCTGGTCGAGGAAGTAAGATCCTGCAAACCATGTGGCCCGGCCAAAAAAATAGAACACTGGTGTGTTGTTGTGGGTAAGGCTGTTTATATGGGGTAGTGAGTACTGAAACAAAATAATTCTTTAACATAGGACTTTTTGAATTTCAGACATTTTTGGACTTCAACTATCTTCTTTTCCCTCCTCCTCATCCCCATCCTACATCATATTAGACCTGGCATTCCTTACAGGTCTAGATTTGAAGAAACATGAAAGCATACCAATTAAGACTTAATAATGATTGGAAGAAATCATGATAAATAGGAAGTAAACAGACGACTTTGTCGTCATTTTTTGTATTTTGTTTTCAACTAAATAACCATGTTTTGCTTAAATGCAGTGAGTCCAACCCAATTAGAAGGCTATTATTGAGATCTGGCTTCACTAGAGAGAAAACTTGTGATATCTGTAAATTGCTTTTGGCAACACTGTCTATTTACAATGTGAAGGTGAACAACACTCCAGGAGGTATTTCACCAAGGAGAAGACAGAGCTACTAGCTCTGAAGACAGCCAGTGGAGCTAGCAGGCCTGATGGAAACTAGCAGAGAAGCTGCATTTCACAGCAGCAGTTATTGATATAGGTTCTCTTCTGCAAGTAGTTTGGGGTGGGAGAGAAGACAAGGTTATCATATATCTTTGTGTAGCTGAATCATTTTATTTATAAGCATTGAGATTATCAGTATGCTGCAAGAATAGACAGTGACCCATTTATGTCATGGCCTGAGTTAACTCTCTGCCCACTTCAAATATGGACCATGTTCATTATCTGAGAGATGAGGCGCTGCCGTGATTAGTAAGCTGCTTGCAACAGTCTCATATTTTTAGATGGGAAAGATTTTGCTAAGCTTTAGGCTACTAAAGCCTAATCCCATTCTACAAGGTGGGATTATGACTGTTAGTTCTTAGGTTGCTAAAGAAATACATATCTGTCTTGACACAGCAGGCTGTCTATATTTTTTATTTAAAAAAACTGCAGATGTTATTGCATTTCCCTCCGCCACCCTTCCTACCCCCAGGTAGGTGGTGTCTGGGAATATACCCAGAACCTTTGGGGGAGAAAAAAAGATGAACAGGGAGGGAATCGTAACAGTCATTAGAGGAGAGCAACTTCCAAATAGGCTGCCTAGGCCAGGAGCAAGGAAGCTGATGGAGGAAGAGCTGCCTCTGGAGAGTGTTAAACGGTGTTGATGGTCTCTTGACTGTTTTTTCTGCCACCAAAATAACTGCATATTGGGTTGAAAGTCATTACCTTGGTCCTGGATTAATCCCTTCAGTAAATCTAGCTTTGCTGACTGCAGAAGTCATGTGAACATACAGTGGGAAATCCTATCTAGAAGGGTAGATGCTGACTTGTGGCCACTTCAATAAAATGGTTTTGGTTTGGTTTGGTTTGGGTTTGAAAGGCAGTTGTGTTTTTGACATTTAAGCTGATTAAAGTTTTAGCACCTAAACTAAAAAAGCTGCTTCTTCAGGTGTACGAAGATACTTGTTAATCAAGTTCAGGTGTAGTGTTTGTGGTTTAGCTTGAATATTATTTACTTATTTTTGAAATTTGATTGATTTGATCTTATAGAAGAAAGAAATTTGAAAGGCTCACTCATTCTACAAATAATTATTGAACGCTTCCTATGTGCAAGATCCTGGTCTAGATGCCAGAATATGTAGCTCGCTTTCCCTTCCATGCCTTTAGGATCTATCCTTAAACTTAAAAATACAGTCTGTGGACTCTGCCTCCTCTCTATTCACAAAGTAACCTAAAGAAAAACTGCCCAGCTGGATGTTAAGCCAAGGTGGATTTAAAATGAAAGTACACTGAAGTTTTTCTTTCAGGCCTGCTGCCCAGTAGTATTATCTATGACATCAGTATTCTCTGCTTTGATTCTTGGTGTAAAAACACAAGTCTGTGTTCCCTTGATTACTGCTTCATTACCTGTAGGATCCTACTAATTCAGTAATCGCCTTGCTCATATTAGCTGCCTGTGCCTAGGCTGCACAGTTATGCCTGATTCTTACACTGCCACCAGATGCTACCCTAGCTGGAGGGTACATATGACAGAGGGGAATGTTTAGCAGCTGTAACTAATGGGCGTTTTACTATTCCTGGCTTCAAAATGCCTATAACCAGGTTGCTAGCATTATGGAGAGAAGATTTTAATCTGTAATAGGTTACATTTCCAGATATTATTTGCTGAAAACTTAGCTTAATGAATTCTCCATGGGAACCTTTTCAGATTTAATCAGCTTGTGAGGAGAAGCTTGATTCAGATTCTCAAACCATTCTGTTTTTCAGAGGAGGTTGAGGTTTATTTTATATTTCAAAGAAAGGGTTTATCAGAATTTAAACAGGAGTTTAGGAGGAAGGTTTAAACCAGTTAATAGAAGTGTTTTCCTACACTTCAGAAACACTAATTAATTTAACTATAAATAATGTTAATTGTAAGCTATTGGCTATTTATTAAAGCCAGTCTTCCAAGTATCCTTCAAAAGTTATCTGTTTCTGCCTTATTTCATTTAAGAAAGTTTTTTTAACATTTTTATTGGAGTATAATTACTTTACAGTGTTGTGTTAGTTTCTGCTGTATAACAAAGTGAATCAGCTATATGCATACGTATACCTCCATATCCCCTCCCTCTTGCGTCTCCCTCCCACCCTCCTTATCCCACCCCTCTAGGTGGTCGCAAAGCACCAAGCTGATCTCCCTGTGCCATGCAGCTGCTTCCCACTAGCTATTTTACATTTGGTAGTGTATATATGTCAGTTCTACTCTTACTTCATCCCAGCTTACCCTTCCCCTTCCCCGTGTCCTCAAGTCCATTCTCTACGTCTGTGTCTTTATTCCTGTGCTGCCCCTAGGTTCATCAGAACCATTTTTTTTTAGATTCCATATATATGTGTTAGCATATGGTATTTGTTTTTCTCTTTCTGACTTTCTTCACTCTGTATGACAGACTCTAGGTCCATCCACCTCACTACAAATAACTCAATTTCGTTTCTTTTTAGGGCTGAGTAATATTCCACTGTATATATGTGCCATATTTCTTTATCCATTCATCTGTCGATGGACACTTAGGTTGCTTCCATGTCCTGGCTATTGTAAATAGTGCTGCAATGAACATCATGGTACATGACTCTTTTTGAATTATGGTTAAGTAAGTTTTTAATACAGAGTTTACCAAGTCATTATTCTCTCCTCCTTTCAAATTAGTCCTAATTTGGGCTTCCCTGGTGGCGCAGTGGTTGAGGGTCCACCTGCCGATGCAGGGGACACGGGTTCGTGCCCCAGTCCGGGAAGATCCCACATGCCGCGGAGCAGCTGGGCCCGTGAGCCATGGCCGCTGGGCCTGTGCGTCCAGAGCCTGTGCTCCGCAACGGGAGAGCCCACAGCAGTGAGAGGCCTGCGTACCGCAAAAAATATATATATATATTAGTCCTAATTAGTTGGAATTTACTATGGTATGTGTGTTTTTAAATTTTTATTAGAATATTCTGGTATTTTACTGTGTATAGAAGGTTCTGGCAATATTCCAGAACCAATTGGCTTTGTGAAGGATAGGTACATGATTGGACTCTGACTATTAGCACCCCAGTGCCCATCACCATTTAAGGCATCTCTTCATAATTCTTTCAAAAAAACAAGACCATTGCTAACTTCAGGATAAGAATATGCTACAAGAGAATATTCTGAAATAAAAATCAAGCAGAAGCCCTAAGAGATTATGCCTGCTTTTTGATAGAGTTGAGAGCAAGGGTAAAGAGTTTAATGTCTCAGGGTTATAAGAGAAGAGAAAAGAAAACTTTATGGAACGTGGGAAGGAAGACCTGTGAAATTAGACAAATGCTAAACGAAGTTGGGTCTTAAGCTCTCTCTCCTCCCCCTGTCCCCACAAAATTCTGCTGAAGCCATCAGGAAGAGATAGTAATTGGCATTTTGGGAGGAGTCAGAGAATAGCCTCCTCCACCCTCATTTCTGGTGGAAGAATTACTGGCTTAGTAGGAGCCACCTGATAATACTAGCTTTGAGGGGAGGCAATGTATGGCCTTTAAAAATGAAACATTTCATAGAATCCTTGTTGTAAGTTGCAACTTTTTGTCTTCCTCTTATAGCAAATCCAGTTTGCTGATGACATGCAGGAGTTCACCAAATTCCCCACCAAGACTGGTCGACGATCTTTGTCTCGCTCTATTTCTCAGTCCTCCACTGACAGCTACAGTTCAGGTAGGTGTGAACTTCCTGTTCTCTCTGATCTCTCCCCCCTATTCCAGAGTCTTGAGCTAGTACTCTACCCAGTTCTCTTCACTTATCTAGGATCTGAAAATACCTCATGTCAGGACTGCCTGTCTTTGTGCTGAAAGCTGAAAACTAGTGGTTGAGCAATGGGAATGTTCCCAGCCAGGGTTGTAGCTGGAGAAGCTTTCTGTGTGTGGTCTGTGGCCAGTTCCTGGTTGGTAGTACTGGGCCGGTTCCCATTCCCACGTTTATTCACTCACATTGAGAAGGGAGAAAATCAATGGTATTTTGGCTGCCAGAACGGGCCTTGAAGAAGAGGTGTACTTTGGAAGCATAATTTCTGATTTCTTTGTTAAAGATATACCCTGCCACCTATTTTTCTTTCTTGCCTTTAAGACTGCTTGAATTGTCAACAATAAAAATTAGTGGGCTTCCCTGGTGGCGCAGTGGTTGAGAGTCCGCCTGCTGATGCAGGGGACACGGGTTCGTGCCCTGGTCCGGGAGGATCCCACATGCCACGGAGCCGCTGGGCCCGTGAGCCATGGCCGCTGAGCCTGCGCGTCCGGAGCCTGTGCTCCGCAGTGGGAGAGGCCACGGCGGTGAGAGGCCCGCGTACCGCAAAGAAAAAATTAGTATTTAGCTCTTTTTATTTACTAGTTACCCTTTATGTTGAAATATCTTCCCCTGTTAACCTCTGGAGTGGGAAAGAGTCCAACTAATGTGGCTCCAGCTGTTTCTTTTTAGTTCTCCTCTCCTATCTTAACCCTATACAAGCAGTCTTTTTTTCTGCTTTGAACTGTGCCCTTCTCAACTTTAGAGGCGGGTATTAGAAAATTAACATGGAAAAGGATATAGAATCTTAGTTTGAGTACTGGAGGAAACGGGGCATCTAATCCAACCCCCTCATTGTTCAACTGAGGAAACATTGTTAAAAGATTAAAAGGCTTGCTCAAGGTCATAGATTGCTATGAATGTCAGCAAAGGAATTTGTACCAAAAGCCATTTATTTTCTTTTGCCATAATCTTGTTTGCATTGTATTACTAACATTAGGACTGGGCTTGAGGTATAAGGACTGTTTAAAAAAAAAAAGAAACGGATAGACAATTTTTAAAAACTTATTCTCTGCCCTGTGACACTGTTAACCCATTATGGACAAGATAGGCAGACAAGTACAAATGGTGGTATACAGGGTTAAGTACGGAAATAAATGAACATGCAGTCTCACTGTGAGCATGTGTACAAGAAAAGGTTCCAAAATATAATGGCTATCATAAGTGAAAAGGTGTCTTGGAGTGAGACAGATACAAAAAGTGATAGGTGGCAAGCAGGCTAATTATAGCTAAGAGAAAAAAATTTGAAAGATTGAGTTACGAGAGAAAAAGTTGGGATGAGTGATGGAAGCTTTAAGAAGTCTTTAAAGATCTTGATGGTCATGTTTTATGGGGACCTAGTAGAGCATTTTTAAAAGCTTAGTGATAGAGTTAAATTGTCCTAGTGGATAGATAACCTTTAGTAGTATTTGTGTTAGCTGGACAGAGGAGGATGTGTATGTAGAAGTCAGCGAGAGACCTGGTACACTGGCAGAGACGGTGATCAGGAAAATATTCAATGAGAGAAAAAAAATGATTTGAGAGGTAAGGAGTGATTGTTTTATATTCTCCTTGTTTTATATTCTCCCGCGTATCTATCTGCAAGGACATTTTTGGCTTTTTGTGAAGCTGCTTTTTAAAGTTGAACATCGTGAGTGATCTCAGGGCTGGCAACAGAATCAGTGCTGCTCATCTTTTGTGCCATTTCTGTGTTCCTTAGTGCAACCTAGTGTAAAATCTCTTTATAAGATTTTATAAGATAAGGTTATCTTACTGTTTTTATTCTTTTACATTAATGGTTCTCAAAGTATGATCCTCTAAACAGCAATATCAGCAGCACTTGGGGATTTGTTAGAAATGCTAATTCTTGGGTCCCATCTGAGACCTACTGAATGGGAGTTTCTGGCAGTGGGGCCCTAGCCATCTGTGTTTCAACAAACCTTCCATGTGATTCTGACAGATGCTTTAGATACTTAAGTTTGAGAACTAGTGATCTATAGAAATAACATTCCTTATATGGCCTAAATTATTCTTCCATTTTTGCCATGTCTGGTTCCAGTCCCGGTTGGGACCAAGTGCCCCTGTTTTGAGGGATTCTCTTGAGCTGGTGCAGGTTTGGGATCAATAGCTCCTTATCACAGGCACTAATGGCAAAGTCATCGGTGGGGGGGGGGGGGGGGAAAAAGGGCCACAATACCGAAAGATCTACAACAGTTTCATTCATACCATTTCTTAGACCCTGGAGGAGTAGAACGGAGAGAGACGTAAAAGGTGGCTCCAATTAAGAGTGTTCGCTTAACTTAAATGAGAGTCCCTTGGTGACTGCACTCTGTGGAGTTGGGGCCATTGAGGTTTTTCTTTCCTCATTTCTTTCTTTCCTGGTTCTAGCTGCGTCCTATACAGATAGCTCTGATGATGAGGTTTCCCCCCGAGAAAAGCAGCAAACCAACTCCAAGGGCAGCACCAATTTCTGTGTGAAGAACATCAAGCAGGCAGAATTTGGACGCCGGGAGATTGAGATTGCAGAGCAAGGTAAAGAAGGGGAGTGGGTAGGGGACCAGAAGCAGCCCACTTGCTAGTCATCAGGATGCACAAACAACTTAAGGCGTGCAAGCTAACTTGAAAGTCTCCTGGGAAACTCCAGTATCCTGGACTTTTATATAAACAAATCTATCTGTATGGAGCTTGAGCCTCAGGATTCTTGTTCTTGTTCTCCCTGCTGCTTCCTGTTCTCAGCGTGTGGTAATTACACAGAGTACTTTCCCTTTTCCTCCCGCATGATACCATATTCAAAGATCTGCTTGCAGAGTCAGCAAGTCCTGGATCAGTACATGGTGGTTAGTTCTGCGGGATCCTACCATAGCTGCCAATCTCAGAGACCCAGATTTCCCAGAAGCAGCAAATGTGGGAGGGTTTTCAGCTAAGGATGTGGTGACCTAGGGTCTCTTTTGGTCTTTGATCCTGAGCACCCTCTGCTGGAGCAAGAGTAAAAATGACTGACAATCAGTTAAATCTTGGTTTCTCTACCCAGCCCCACTCGCAATAATGTCTCTTTACTCTTGTTGTTTTCACATTGGAGGCATGTTCTATACTGGGCAGGAGTACAGAACTGAAACAAACTGATAGAATAGGATTAGACAGCGTAGAAGAACAGAAGCAAGTGGCTTCTGCTGATGTAAAGTCTTTCTTCCTGGTCTGATGATTGTAGTATATAGGAATCCATTAGCCAGTGCCATAACTACTTCCCTCTTCTCCCAGATGAATGGTGACACTCACCTTCCATTTCTATCACTTTTGAGAATTTGACTACATATAAGCCCTCTGTATATAAGGCTGAAACTGTAGAGGAAGAGAGAAATTCCAAGTGATTAGATGACAACTCACTGCTGTTGTTCTGCAGTTGAAGCTGCCAGACATCAAATAAATGTGCTTAGAGGGAATTCCCTGGCAGTCCAGTGGTTAGGACTCCATGCTCTCCCTGCCAAGGGCCCGGGTTCAATCCCTGGTCGGGGAACTAAAATCCCACAAGCCACGTGGCACGGCCAAAAATAAAATAAAAATTAAAAATGTGCTTAGAGTTTTTTCTTCCTTACCTCACCGTATCTCAACAGATCCAGACCAGCCCTAGATGTCGCTGGGGCAGGAATTAATGATATTGCTAGTGCAGACCTAGCTCAAATACTCTGTTCTTTCACAGACATGTCTGCTCTGATTTCACTCAGGAAACGTGCTCAGGGGGAGAAGCCCTTGGCTGGTGCTAAAATAGTGGGCTGTACACATATCACAGCCCAGACAGCGGTGAGTTTGTTGGGAGAAAAGTGATGGTCTTCTGATGGGAGTGGGGGTGGGGAGGGACACTTTTTCTTTTTTTTTTTTACTTGCTTTTCCTTCCCTATCTAACTTCCAAGTGCTAACTATTAAGTGGAACCTCCCAGTTACACAATAATGGGGTTTTCTACTTTGATTGTGTAGATATAACCTACTTTTAACCAACCTGACTTAGATCTCGATTTGCAAAAATGTGATTGTTATAAATATGTTATTAAGACGTTTGGGACCATTTTTGGGGGGTAAAGTTAGATTCCAGTGTACTGACTAGTGGATTACACACCCTTTTGTAACTTCCCAGTGTAGCACCTGTTGCTGCTGAGTTGCTGGGCATTGTTCTCTTAGTTTCCACTCAAGTCTGGCCCTCCTTCTTCTCACTCTGTCTTCCTATACATCTATATAGGTGTTGATTGAAACACTCTGTGCCCTGGGGGCTCAGTGCCGCTGGTCTGCCTGCAACATCTATTCCACTCAGAATGAAGTGGCTGCAGCACTGGCTGAGGCTGGTAAGTTCAGCTTTTTTCACCGACTTTGCTGCAAAATAATTATCTAAACATAATTTTTACATATCAGAATTATCTTTACAATGTCATGTATGTCTAGGTGCTGTAAAATGTGGAGGGTAATAGTGTCAACAGGAAGGAAATGGATAATAAAGGTCCATATGCATAATGGAATATTGTATAGTCATTTAAAATGATCTTTGTAAAGAATATAATATATGGGGAAATGCCAATTCTAATGTTAAATGAATGAGAAAGAACTTTAAACTGTGAGCTGTGTGAGTATGAGCTCAGCTGGTCTCCTTTCACAAAAGTCTCCTCACTTTTGAGAGAACACAAGTAAGAGGTACCATCTATTTGATAGTTCATTAGATAATTTGGTATTCAATATTGCATTGAAAATATATGAACTACTTATGAGTTCAGTTAAACATAAAGTAATTTTTATTGTTAAAATGTTCAAAGGAAAATCACTCTGAAGTTTCTTTAAGGTTCTCCCATCTTCCTGTGATCCTCAGAAAGCAACTGTATAGTACTTTTGTTTTTCTTGTTTACTCTTTTCTGATGTTTATTGCAGAAAATTTAAGAGGGTCCCCAAAAAAACTAAAATCCTGCTACACAGGGATAATATTTGACATATTTTTCCATTTTTCTGTTCACTTTTTACAGAGATGAAATAAGTCTTGGTATATATACAATTTTATAACGTAAATATAACATTTTCAGAAGTAGTTTCCATGTCACTGAAAACTTCGACAGCATCATTTATAATAGTCATATGGCCATGTGATTTTACTTCACTGTTTTCCTAATGTTGAACATTTAGTTTGTTTCAAGATATTTGCTAATATAAATAATGCTGTAGTGAACAGCTTTGTTTTGATTCCCACTTCATTTTATCTCCTTAGAATAAAGTTCCACGTATAAAATTGACCGAAGTGAATAACATTTTAAGGTTCTAAAATACTTTCAAAAACAAAAATCCCTTAAATTCTTAACTAATTTCTGAACTAAAGATGCTCTTTTGACTTCTTGCCCTCCGTAAGTTGTTTCCTTTCCAGCGTAATTTCTTTAGCCTTTTTCTCTTCACCTGGATCTCAGAGAGTGATGTTGGTATAGGACACTCCCCCAAAGAGGAATGAGCTGATTTGTTTCCGTCTCTACAGGAGTTGCAGTGTTTGCGTGGAAGGGCGAGTCAGAAGATGACTTCTGGTGGTGTATTGACCGCTGTGTGAACATGGATGGGTGGCAGGCCAACATGGTAATAATGCATATTCATCCTACACTTTTGACAATGGATTTCTTTCCTTTTTTCCCTCAAAGCATGGTTCCCTAAATATGTTTCGGATGTTTGGTCTTATGCACTTACTTTGTTGCCAAAATGGTTAGCTTGATACCTATTCAGGATGGGTCTGAGGACTGAATGGAAAGGCGGGGGAAGGGTAAGACCAACTGAACACATGTGGCTCATACACAGCAGAATGAAATAGAAGAAAATGATATGGTACCTCTTTGGAGTAAAATTCTGGTTTCTTTCCTTCCTGCCCCAGCTCTCCTTTTACGTTCCAAGGGGCTTTATATCAGGGCTCTAGACTAAAAAATGAGTCTGTGATTAGCCTACTACTCTTCACCATAGCCTAGAACAAACTTAGGAATCCTTTTAACCATTTTACACCAACAAATTTGACTGTGTTTCCACTGTCTAAACCTGCTCTAAGGAGCTCTGAGGAGTGCTCTCCAAAACATTCAGGGCTCTCTTACTAGTGCAGAAAGTGGGTTCAAAGTTCCCCCCAGCTCTAGCAGCCTGAATGCCCATAGAAGTCTTCTGGCTGTTCTATAGATCCTGGATGATGGGGGAGACTTAACCCACTGGGTTTATAAGAAGTATCCAAACGTGTTTAAGAAGATCCGAGGCATTGTGGAAGAGAGCGTGACTGGTGTTCACAGGTAACAGATTCTGGAGTAGCTGCCCCTTGTGTCCTTGCCTCAGCAGATTCTTCTGGTCTCTTTTAGGCTTTAGGGCTATGTTTCAGCCTTGTAACTAAATGGGAGTATCTTCATTAGATAAAACTTTTGAGTATATATACCTTTGGAAAAAATCAAGGAGACCCTAAAAGGAAGTTATTTCAGACTCTAGTTCAGAGATTTTCTCTCCCATTTATTCCACTGTGATTCTCAGTCATTGCTGGGAGGTAGGGAATGAATATATCTTGAAAAACTGTATTCAATTTTGGATTATAATTTTATATCTGAAATACGAAAAAAATCTATTGTAAAACTATATGTTATAAACATTACAAAAAATAAAACTGGGCAAAATATTATTTGCTTGTTGGAGTACCTGTAAAATATCTGAGAGAGTGTTTCTCCTTTGGGGGCACCTTGCACATGCTTAAACACACACACACACACACACACACACGGGACCATATCAGAATCATTGATAATCTTTATCAGAAGTAGGCATGGATTTTTTTTAAAGATTAAGAAAATGCTGGTCTAAGGATATGTATCCCCTTTTATGAAAGAGAAGTAAATTTCTTCAATTGAAAGGTTTTTTTCCTTCCAAAAAAAGGCGGGGGGGGAGTTGGGAAAGAGAAAATGAAAAGAAGTTAGGAGGGATAACAAGGATTACCTTGTTTACTAATATTCTTGGGCAATAAATAAGACTGGGGAGGGCAGCACAGAGCTTGAAGAGAATTAGGCAGACTTTGCCAGCTACTGTGTTTTACCAGCTAACTTTGTTTTTGTTTTTGTGGCTTTCTTCTCCCTTTAGGCTGTATCAGCTCTCCAAAGCTGGGAAACTCTGTGTTCCAGCCATGAACGTCAACGATTCTGTTACCAAACAGAAATTTGATAACTTATACTGCTGCCGAGAATCCATTTTAGATGGGTAGGTTGAAACGTATAATTATTCAAATTTATAGGGGGTAAATTTGGGTTGGGTTATAATGTTAGTCTGATATCCCTCCAGTTTCGCCCCCTGGTCTTCCTATGGCTTTAAAAGTTTGTTAGAGGCATTCTATCTCATACTGAGCCCAGCCAACTTCCAGTCGAAGTTCTTATGGGGCATTGCCCACACTTAAATTTTCAGAGGGACTGTATTTGATCTAATAATGTTTGAGTTGAGGCTTGTCTGTTTCCACAGCCTGAAGAGGACCACAGATGTAATGTTTGGTGGGAAACAAGTGGTGGTGTGTGGCTATGGTGAGGTAAGTAGCTGGGCCTCAGTGTCTGCCTTTTCACAGACTTGTTAGAAATTTTGAGTGAAGGAGACTTGTGCTGTCAGTGTAGAGTTACTGATGCAGGGTTTAAAATATGCTTTTAGATAAAGTGTCTCAAAATAGTAGCAAAAGTCCTTTATTCAGATTTATGAATAGAGACATATAGAACGAATTGAGTTTTCAGATTTCACCACTTTGTCTTATGGTATGGAATGTTGCCATCATTTCCACCCAGTTATAACAGTAACCTTTTCATTATGAGACTTAATTCAAGTAAATATGTAGCATTTTGGTCCCACAGGTGACTTAGTGGAGTGAAGGGTAAAATCTGAAGTGGCATATAGTTGATTATCTCTAAACTAGAATAGATGACAGGAGACTTTATTTATTGTCATAAACAATGACCCACAGAAGTTTCTGAGCTGCTAGGCTGTCCTTGAGTGAGATGCTTCTCAAGTGATAGTTATCAGGCTTTCCTGGAACAAGAATCTAGAGGTTACAGTTGATCTTCCTTGGTCTTGTTTCCTTGATGGTGATACTTTTATTTCCTTTATCTCTTTTACTATCCCAAGTTCCAGCCCTTGCTAAAGCCCTTGAAATGTCTGCTAAATCACTCCTCTAAGGGTCACAACATAATCAGGATCTGTTTCTCCTCTGCTTGGATTGGAGCATCTTTGCAAGGACTTGCTAGATGATTGGTGGTTTCACGGAGGCTAATTCCCATCTCCCAGAGAGCCTACCTGCCTAAATATCTGTGCCTGAATGGACCTGACTTCTTCCTTAATGCTCTGCAGGTGGGAAAGGGCTGCTGTGCTGCTCTCAAGGCCCTCGGAGCAATTGTCTATATCACAGAAATTGACCCCATCTGTGCTCTCCAGGCCTGGTAAGAACAGCGGTAATACCATTAGGTTCACTCCAGGGACTTTATGTTTCTAAGAGTTTGATTATTGTATTAACCATTCCTTGGAGAAATTTCTCAAAGAAGGAGAAGGCTAAGATTGCTTTATTCCCTGCATTGTAATCATAGGGCACTCATAGAGCTTCTTGGTGTTTTCCCTTCCTGGATGGAACCTTGGGGAGTCTGAAGCGCCCAGTGTGTATAGTTTAGCACAGCTTATTACTACCATTCCAGTGAGGTAGCCCTGGATTTAACTTCAGAGAGACATTTAATTGTCTCATTTTGTGACCAGCTTCTGTCCCACTGCCTCCTTGCTTTTGCTCATAGTGTTCCTTCCTTTTCTTCCAGCATGGATGGGTTCAGGGTGGTAAAGCTGAATGAAGTCATCCGGCAAGTTGATGTCGTAATAACTTGCACAGGTAAGTGTCAGTGCTTTGGTGTACATGGAGGAGTATTAACTCTGAGGTTAAATCTTGAAAATGATCTAATTAACTTTTATATAAAGTAGGTAAGACCTGTGTTGTGTTTAAAAGTCTGAGAACTAGAGTAAGCTATCAGAACCTTAACATATTTTCCTGAACAAAGAGCCTTTTTCCTTGATGGCTTTTTATCCTGTTTGATCTTAAAACCAAAAAACTGAGCCTAAAGAGCTGTTGGGCAACGCACACTTCTTTCCTCACAATGTATACATGCTCTTTAGTGCCAGCAAACCTCTGTCCCATGTTCTAACTGAAAGCTAGTCAGTACCTTTCCCCGCCAGGATCTGTTTCCTCAGCCACTGTCCTTTACTTTTAGGAAATAAGAACGTAGTGACACGGGAGCATTTGGATCGCATGAAAAACAGTTGTATCGTATGCAATATGGGCCACTCAAACACGGAAATTGATGTGGTAAGCCTTCTCTCATTGATTTGTTGCTAGGCCTTTTTTTTGCTTCCTTCCATTATAGCCAGTCAACTGCGCTCTCTTCCTTTCAGACCAGCCTCCGCACTCCGGAGCTGACATGGGAGCGAGTACGTTCTCAGGTGGATCATGTCATCTGGCCAGATGGCAAACGCGTCGTCCTTCTGGCAGAGGTGCACACACAGAAGGGTTCGGGCAGTACAGCGCAAACAATATGGTTAGAGCCATCTGGGGAGGGGTGGCAGGGTAAACATATTCGGCCTATGTTTCCCTGAATTCTGTCTTTGGGTAGAGGTATATTTCTCAAATAGTCTGGTCTCCAAATAGAATCACTCAAAAAATATCTACTTTTTACTAAGTAACATACTACTTCCTGACCACAGCTGATTCTTCAGTTTGTCAGACTCAGATGGACTTGCAGAAAATAAGATAAAACCTAGAGTCCTGATTTGGAACTGTAATTCTTCCTCTACTAACTGAGTCTAGAAGGAGTATAAAGTCCTTTCCAGCATTTGTGTGACTTGCATGACATGACAGAGGGATAACACAACTCATACCAGGGCTCTGTTTCAACTTTTTAGGGTCGTCTGCTCAATCTGAGCTGCTCCACAGTTCCCACCTTTGTTCTGTCCATCACAGCTACAACACAGGTATGTGACAAAAGGCCGGCTTAGCCTGCACTAAGATGAGTGGAACTGGGCGTAGATCAGAGTTCCAATGAGAGTGTGCCCTCCTGTGTTCTTATCAACCTGTTTTCTTCAGGTTACAAGTTGTCAAGATTTCGGCTTTCTCAAGTGTAGAAAATAATCATTAGTCAGGCAGAGTCAGTGTTTGTGTCCCTTTGGTTGGCTGTTTTAATTTAGAATATAGTGTTTCAGCTCAATTGTATTTAGTGTCTTCTTTTGTTAGGAACTAAACAAAAGCACCAGTAAATCCTCCCATGTTGTGTGCTGGTGTTTATTACAGTCCAAGTCCTGTGTGCTGTCACTGTGGTAGATCACTTAAATATTTACCCCAAGACCCTTTTTGTTTTTTAATGTCCCTAAGAAGTGTTTTTGTGTTTTTTGACCCTCTTTTCCCTTCTTAGGCTTTGGCACTGATAGAACTCTATAATGCACCTGAGGGACGATACAAACAAGATGTATACTTGCTTCCTAAGAAAATGGGTGAGTGATAACAGTAGAAACCTATATTGACCCCCAGACTGTTGCATGGTTTGGTAAAATGAATATCGTGAAAAGCATTAGATTTAGAGTCAGGATTCTTCTAATCCCTATTCTAGCACTTAGTGGTTTTTGGACCTCGGGACAAGTTCTAATCTCCATGAGCCTCAGTTTCTTTATCAGTAAAGTGAGAATAATAGTAAATATATTGCAAAATTTTTGTAAGAATTACAGCTAATGAGTAAAGGTGCTTTAGCACAATGGTTTAGGGTAGATGCTCTTATCCTGAGTAGCTTTATGAAGTTTAGTAAACTTACTACCACTGATTACAGCCTGGGACCAAAATGAGAGAAACAAACAAATATAGTTTTTATTGTCCATCTTCTATGAGATATACAAAAAATCTGTCATTCCAGGGGTCAGCTGTGTTGTGTTCACGTGACATAATACATCATCTTTAGTTCTTTACCTTTCTGAGTATGGCGCCAACCTCCCCTCTCATTGGTCAGCCCAAAACCCTGTCCTCTTAAAGCTAAAAAACTTCTTGCTGTTGTCCCCTTCAGCAGCTTACCTCAGCTTACCTTTGGGTGTTGGCTTTTGGTTTTTAATTCATATTCATAAAGGCAAAAGCCCAAGGAGCTTATCTATGGAAAACTAATACATTTGTGCCGGCTGCCTTAGAAATCCATGATCCTAAGATTTGAGGCCTTTATGGATCTTATCGTAAGCAAATGTTGATGACTTAACTCTTTAGACCTTACTGGTGTCCACTTTGATTCATAATTTGACTATGATCCAGCTAAGGAAGTTGCTGCAGGAAAGTGAGAATAGTACATGGTATGTTGGCCATTGAGGTGAACCCAAAAGCTTTGCCAGAGAAGAATGGGGAGGAACAAGTCGGCCCATTTTGTCCCGCTGGCAGATGGTTTTGTAAGTGCACTCTGGATGTACTGAGAGAAATACCTTAAAGGCAACTTTGAGGGGTTTTTTAAATTAAGCAAATATTCCGAGTCAGATTCTTTCAGAGTTATTCCAAGCCTTGTCCTCTCTCTCAAAGAAGCTTCAGATGAAAATAGGGGGAAGCTATGCCCTGAGAGGCATATTTGAAATGGAGTCTGCCCCCCTGCCGCTTTGTTCTTCCTAGATGAGTACGTTGCCAGCTTGCACCTACCATCATTTGATGCCCACCTTACAGAGCTGACAGATGACCAAGCAAAATATCTGGGACTCAACAAAAACGGGCCATTCAAACCCAATTATTACAGGTAACTTGGGAGAAAGTAAATGAAAAGCTCTTCTCCCCAATATTAAGCCATACAGGCTAGCCAGCTTTTTTAAATAGTGTTATAGCTAATTTTGAAGAGTACAAGAACTCTGCCCCACACTAACAAGGTAAACAGAGAAATTGTATATCTAGTAGTAGATATAAAGAAGTCAGCATTTTCTAAGATTTTGGAGCTTGAGCCTCACCCCCAGAGATTCTAATAGAGTTAGTCTAGAATGGGGCCCCGGCTTATTTTGTAAAACTTCTTCAGATTATTCTAATGTATTGTCAGGGTTGAAAACCACTGATGTATAGTATTAGGGAGCAGGAGATACAGCTAGAGGTGGCATTGCTGGAAATCCTTTGGAAGCGCAGGGAGGAACAATCCCTGGGGAATTACTGCAGGCATCCCTGGCCTGGGCAGGGGAAGGACCCTGGAGAGTGTTCTCTGTTTTGGATTCTTTTCTTGGAACACTCATGTGGAAGACACAAATACTAAACAGTCAATCTCTTTCGTTACAGATACTAATGGACCGTATTACCAAGGACCAGTCCACATGAACCACACAACTCTAAAAGAAATATTTTTTAAGAAAACTTTTATTTTCTTCTTAATCCTTTCCTCTTGATTTTTTTCCCTGTAATTTCTTTCTTGTTTTTTCATCTCATTATCCAAGTTCTGCAGACCACACAGGAACTTGCTTCATGGCTCTTTAGATGAAACTGAGATTCAAGGTTTCTCACCCTAGTCACTAAAGAAGGATTTTACTCTCCCAGCCCAGAAAGGTGATTCTTTCTTTACCATTTCTGGGGACTTTATAGTCTTAATTGGGTACCTTATTAACAGGAAATGCTAAGGTACCTTCTATGTGGAACAATCTGCAATGTCTAAATTGCCTTAAAAGAGCCCATTTCTTAGCTGCTGAAATCAGTGCTCTTTCACTTCTTCAGAGGAGCAGGGATGGTACCTACCAGGCAGGTAGGTTATGTATAGGTGGTGCATGTTAATTTCCCCTAGATGTTCCAAGCCCTGTTTCCTGTGTAAAGGTGGTATGTTTGGTTCAGAGATGTGTACTAGTGAGTGTTGCTTGTTAAGATCTGGTAGGCCCACTTGGATTTAGTACAGCCCTTCCTCCTCTCCCACCAGACCCTCTCATTTTCCAGGTTTTTATCCAGACTGTACTCTATTAAGTTGAATTTTGTCCCCTAGCATTTATTTCTGGGTTTTTCTGTTTGTTTTTGTTTTGTTTGTTTTTTTGTTTTTTGTTTTTTTATTGTTTTTTTAAGTAAGAAAAATGTTTAGTCTTAATACTGAGGAGCCACTTGAGTGGTTGTTGTCAGTTTATCTTTTGAACCTTTGGAGCTAAAAGTGCAGAGTTGAGTCTAGAGAAATGCAGATCTCTAACTCTGATAATCCCTCTGTTTCTAGCCCATAGTTTATAGCTTCAGTGAACTGGGGCCATAACAGTAAATTTTATCAGCTCTGCCCCATCAGCTTGTGCTGAAAGCAAATTTCTTGAGCCATTACTCAGTATACAGCACTGAGCTCTGTCTTTAGGATTTATCCTTTAAGAGCAAGTTTCTAATCAGCTGTGCTTCTGCAATTTAAAATACTTAAAGGGAGGTAGATGTGGATGGGAGGAGGAATGATAAATTGGGTCAGGCTGAGGGAAATTAGCTCTGTATAACTTGTCTGGGACTTTAGTTTTACAGAAGCAGTACCACTTTTGATTGACGCATGTCACAGAAGGTTTATGAACTGAGACCTTAAAGGGCAGTTTGCGCATAGAGAAAATAATCAGTGTGTCCTGGCTCACACTCTGAAAGAATCCTCAGAGGTAAGAGAGATGTATTCCCATGCCATGCACCCTGCTTACCAGCATTTCTGCATGGTCAGGTGAGCTTTGTGCTCATGAGCTTTAAGTGTATAATTATCCAGGATTCTAAATTCTCAACTTGTTCTAGCTGGTGATCCTTCAAAGTTGGGTCAGGCAGTAGTGCTAGGTACTAGAAATTTTCATTTCCCTATTGCCATTGATCAGAGAAGACAGACGTTAAAAATAGAAATTTAAGAAGGAAAGCTTTCACTCTGTGACTTCCTAGCAGGGGTCAGTGATCTTGCCAAAACATTTTTCCCTCTCCTGTTTCTCCGTAACCAGCCCATTCGCACTCCTTGCCAGTGTGACCATGCTTTCTTCTCTGTAGATGCTAATGGTTCAAGCCCTTTTTCCCAAGGCATTTAACCAGCCAATCAGAACAGCACATCCTTTAGGGGAGGTAACCTGGCCAACAGTGGTATCCATCGTGTGAGTTCTGCTGGAGGGAAGGGGCCCAGGTCCTGCTGCCCTCTGGCCTGCCCCCTGCTCCCATATCTATTACTGTGTCCATAGGAATACTAGATAAGGGCTCCGTCTCTGTCAAGCCATGTAACAAAGGACACTGTGGGAAAATTTCTGGCATCAGAGGGAGCGTGTAGAGAGCAGCTTGGGAGGAACAAGTTTATTTTGTATGATTTTTAATGAATGCAATATTAATCCTTGCAGATGAGCAATAATCATTAAAGTCAATTAAAATGATAAGACCTTATTGGAATCCTGTGTCATTCCTGGTTGAACAGCAAAACTTTCGTTAAAACCTGTTTTCTAAGGAGGGACAAGTCAGGGGTCAGTTAGCAGTATCTAGGAGAGATTTGTTTAGGACCTAATATGTAGAAGAACAGGCTGGATGCAGAGTTCTTCAGTAATATCTTAAAATTTTGTATGCCTGCTCTGTGCTGAGCATTGGGCCTGGACACTTTCACTCTGACTTCCTTCCAGGAGCAGACTTGCTACCTAAAATTCAGGGCTCCTCACTTACACAGTCCCCTTATAAGACCCTGTACCTAATTCTTTTCCTTAAAAAATGCCTCCAAAGTTATGTAAGCTTCAGCCCCCCCATACCTGTATCCATCTCTGAAGTTGTCTCCATGTGTTCTGATTTAACAATGTATCTGTTAATATTGTTCAGAAGTAATACCTTTTCTATTTTGTTAAATTGGTCCCAAACAATGTTGATGTTTTCAGTGCAATTCTGTGAGGTTTTATCCATGCACATAAATCCAAATTTAAGACAAACTTCACATTGCCTAATCAGAGATTTAACCTTTTTTTTTTTTAACTGTTTCCTGAATCTGATAACTTTATAGTTATAAAAAGTTAATCTATTATGATGGGGAAATATCTTGAAGTTAAATATTTGAATATAAAGAATTTAAATGAACTGTTTACCCTATAGTTTTATAAATTTTTCAAGGTGTTTTTTATTGCCTACCACGTGCTAGGATCTGTTTTAGGTATTTGGGATACATCAACGAAAACCAAGATCTCTTCCTTTGTGGAATTTACATAAAACCTCAACAAGACTCAGCCTTCCCCTTCCCCTTTTTCCTTTACCCACAATTCCACCATTAGATGGGGCAGGCATCCACATGGGTTCCCAGCCTGGTGTGTGTGGGTAGGAGCTGGGGGTGTGGCCTAGTGCTGGAAGTCATCCTACACTTGGGATGGGAAAGGCATCCACTCAGGGGAGGGATGGCAATGGTGGATTGGGTAGGAACAGGGAACTTGATTAAATAAGCAGAAATATGAAGGATAACGGAAGCCAGCTTTCTCATTTTTAGAGGAGATGTTACACATCAGAAAGGGAAAAGACTAGAATAAACTCTGGTATTGGGTTTGAATATAGGGGGTATTGGGTTTTGGTGTGAACTCATGAATTTCAACATAAAGAAATATAGGGGAGCACTGTCCACTAAGTGAGCCGTGGAGCAGCAGTTCCCCTCTTGCTCCAGTGCAGTGCATACACCTAGCATCCAGATTCAGGCACTACATTCTCCACTTAAAGGAGCCAGGAGTCTTTGGAGAAATGGCGGATTCCATGGCCAGGCAGGAAAAGTACGAGATGAGCAAGAAAGCAAGGAAGTACTCAAAACAATAATCGCATGTCAAAAGGACACAGAACCCAGCCTTAAGGGACTTACCGGGCAAATCTGGAACAATCTGAGCATCCAAATAATGGCTTATAAATCACTGAATAAAAGAGAAAACTATGAGTCTATACTGATATGAATGAATGAATAGTTTAATGAAGAATGGGATAAGTAAGTAATTTCAAAGTACCTCTCCATAAAATATTTTTTAAGTACAATGGGAAAAAGAGGAGTTTTAAAATGGAGAAGCCTGGCAGAGTTCACCTTAAGTGAACAAAATGGGAGAAATCTGGGTCTTCCACCACTTGATAGGACGCATTGAGAAGAACACAGCATCCCTTCCGTGATATTTCTGCCAAAGATGCAAAACCTGAATGTAATCATGAGGAAGTATAAGGTAAATCCAAATTGAAAATTGTTATTTTACAAAATAACAGGCCTATAATCTTCAAAAGTGCCAAGGCTACCAAGGTCAAAGAATAACCAAAGAACTGAAGACACATAAATTAACTGAACGAACTGAAGTGGATCATTTTGCTATCAAGAACGTTATTAGAACAGTTGCTGAAACGAGTCTGAGGACTATGTGGTAGTAACATCAGTGTTAATTTCCTGATGAAGTATTAGGGGGTGATGGGTCATCAGGTCAACGACTCTCAGATGGGTCAGGAGAAGATTATCTGTAATGTACTAACGTTTTTGTAAGTTTGATTATTATAAAGATTTTTAAAAAAATTTTTAATGATAGTTCCAAAACAAACAAAAAAATCAGACTTTGGCTTTATCGATTTAGAAAATTTTAAAAATCTCCATTTAGGAACGTCTTAGACCAGATAGTAATAATAAAGGTCTTAAGCCTTCTGGGTTAGCAAAGGAAAAGAAAGCAACAGAAAAACAATATTTTACACGCCTGCACAAAACAAAGTATTTCATTTGACAAGCTCAGTGAAAGTAATACGTAGACCTGGATGGTTCAACAGGAAGGTGGGGATAAGGGGTGCGGCCTCACTCCAAAGTGCTCCCTGAACAGAATCTTACCTGCCAAATAACTTCTGAATGTGGGAAATTCCAGAGAAGTCTGAATTTTAAAAGAATGTACAATAAGAATTGACATCACTGCTTAACTGGTTGTGAAACCCTGAGTTAGGGCAGGCATCAGCAAACTATAGCCCTCCCATTGTTACCAAGTCCAAGCTCTACTCGCCACATGACAGGCCAGTAAATTGAGAGACAAGGTGTTAAGGCAAGGAATAGAGACTTTATTTGGAAATCCAGCAGACCGAGAAGATGGCGGACTAGGGTACCCAAAAAACCATCTTCTCGGGGTCTCAGTGCCAGTTTCTTTTGTAGAACAGAGCGGGAGGAGGTGAGGAAGTAAAGTAAAAAGACCATTTATCTTGCAAAATAGGAGGGGATGGGGACTTCCTGGTGGTCTAGTGGTAAAGAATCCACCTTACAATGCAAGGGACTCAGGTTCGATCCCTGCTCGGGGAACTAAGATCCCACATGCTGCAGGGCAACTAAGCCTGTGCGCCACAACTACTGAGCTTACGTGCCTCAACTAGAGAGCCTGTGTGCCACAAACTATAGAGCCCACACACTCTGGAGCCTGTGTGCCACAACTAGAGAGAAGCCCACGTGCCGCAACAAAGACCTGACACAGCCAAAAATAAATAAATAAATAAATCTTTTTTAAAAAAACAAAAAATAGGAGGGGATGTGTTAATTTCTTTTCTGCAGCCATTCACAGGTGGGCAGGGTCAATGTCTCTGTGAGCTGAACAAAAGCCTTTTAGTTTAACAGGCAGAGGGGCAGGGTTCCCTGTGGCAGGCCATTATGTACGCTTACAGCTATAGACTGTAATTTGATTACAATATCAAAAGCAACAAAAAGCAAAGCTTAAAGTAAAAGAAACAGATCCAACATGGAGTCAGAATTGGCTCTCCCCTGTTACACCATGAGCCAAATCTGGCCCACTGCCTGTGTTTGCACATCTCACAAGCTAAGAATAGTTTTTACATTTTAAAATGGTTTTTAAAAATCATGACTAATATTTGTGACTTGTGAAAATTACATGAAATTTAAATTTCAGTGTCCATAAATGAAGTTTTGTACACAAGCCACCCTGATTCATTTATGTAATGTCTATGACTGCTTGCATTCCACAATGGCAGAGTTGAGTAGGTGCAACCAAATGGCCCACAAAGTCCAAACTGGCCCTTAACAGAAAAAGTTTGCTGACCCCAGGCATAAAGGTTGTGTTAGGTATAAAGGGAAAGGTGTCCAAAGGCATTTGATTTGCATTCTATTAGGTAAGAAAAGAAAGTCTCAGAGAAGAAAGTGAGAATGAAAGCATTGGAAAGCAAAAAATATCAAAGAGTATTCTAGTCTAAGTAGCACATGCTAAATCCACCTGCATCCTGGCTAGGAGTAGGAGTCACTCTGGGATTAGGAAACCTCAGCAAACTGATAAAGCAATTTTTAAATATTTTAAAATTTATGATTCCAATTTAGAGTCTATAATCAATTTAGACTTAGTAATCAATTTTAAGTTACAATCAGTTTTTTGTATATATACTGTATTGGAAGCTCTACGCTATTGGAACTTTTTATGGCATTTTGTTTATTTGTTTTATTCTGGTTTTGTTTGTTCTCCACTGCAACCACCAGATGGCGAGTTTTCTCACAATGGTTGTCACACAGGGTCTCTGGCCAACAAAGGATAATAAAATATAGGTTCACACTCCCTTCTCTGAAACCCCTGTGTTTTGAAATTGAGAATATTTCAGATTTTTAGGAAATACACAAATATACAATTTATTATGTTACACCTGTTCTGGGGCTATGGAGCAGCATTCCATAATCAAACATGTTGATATTTCTTAAGTTTATTAATACAGAATAAGGGATAAATACAGACTAACAATAGCCTCCTGTCAGTTAGATCAGGTTTTGCTGCCAAGTTAATTTGTGCCAAACTTCAGGGGAAGACTTTTTGATTTTTAGTATTCTTTTAATTTTGGAGTTGTAGATAAAGGTTTGTAGCTCTAGAATAACACAGTGTTTGCTGTGTAAGTGGCTTCATTTTAAATGCTTTACACAATTAGCATACTTGAGATCACCTCACAATAACCCCATGGGATAGGTACGACCTTTATCACCATTTTATGGATAGGGAAATTGAGACAGTGAAGTGAAGTAACTTGCCCAAGAGTATACAACTCCTAAATTGGTGGAGCTGAAATTAACCCAGGCAGTCTGGCTCCAGGGTTCATGCTTGACTCTAGGTACTACCAATTCTAGGAAACAGCCCCAAACCAGGATTCTAGTATCAGAGTCATATGCTGGGCTGGTTAAAAATAGAGATTCCTAGATTCTGTCTCAGACCTACTGAAACAAACTCTCAGGGCTATAAGGAAGTCAAATCTCTCTCCAGAGTCACAGCGCAATTGATAGGTAGAGCTAGGATTTGACCCTGGTCTTTCTGGCTTCCTGTGGCCCTTCTCTGGAGTCACCGTGGGACTCCCCAAGGGTACTTTCAGGCAGTAATCCCCTGGTACTCATATCTCAGCAGAAGAAACTTAACATGGGCATGAAGACCCAAACTGCAGGTGCCATGACTTCC